CAAACAGCCCAATTGTCGGTTACATGCAGCAGCATGGTGAGCAACAACACGGTGTGGTACGTTATTAGTTTTTTGGGCAAGAAGATAACAGGGTCTGGGGCGGGAATTGTTGAATTGAGCAAGTATACCCAATTCAATGACAAAAAATATAACTACTCCGTAGAACATCTAGAAGGCGCGGGTCACATTAAAAGTATTAAATATTGTTCACAGAGGAAAATTGCGACGTACTAGCAGAGCCGAGTTGTGCGACTGTTTTGTGCGGTAGTCTTCACCCTCGAATATGTAAGCAGAATCGGGAACTTCGTCTTCCACATCAAAGCGCAGCTGACGAAGATTTGACTCGCCCATTTTGGCCAGTTTTTCCTTCATTTCGGTTGTACGCTGTTCGCCTCGGGCCAGTATCTCATCAATGTCCTCATCCTTGATGGTGCTCTCTTTGCTGCGGAAAATGTAATTGGCGTCGTACTTAATCATATCCAAAACCTCCCCCTTCTCCAATTTATTTGTTTTTTGGTCAACTAGGCGGCCTGAAAGGAAATGAGTACGTAAAAGGTGTTAAAGGTCTAGAATGCAACGGTGCAATTATAAGAAATTAGATGGCAGCTGCCAGGGCATCTCGTAAAAAAACGATATATTTTAAGGCACATACCCTGTTGGATAACGAGATTATCGAGGTGCAGCTTCATGTCGGCCCGCATGACGATTCTCTCCTCGACAGTGTTCTCTGTTATGAGACGGAATACACGCACGGTCTTAGTCTGTCCAATTCTGTGAGCTCGGTCCATGGCTTGCAGATCAACTTGAGGATTCCAGTCGGAATCGTATATCACAACAACATCGGCCGTAGCCAAGTTGATACCTAGACCTCCGGCTCGAGTGGACAACATGAAGATGAATTTCGTAGAACCAGGGCGATTATATTCGTCGATTGACACCTGCGATAGAGAAATAACAGCGAAGACTGTGAGTTACTTAAGTCAAACCAATAGCAACAGCAGACGCTACACAAAACCCTTATAAAAACTAATTTCCAAAGGGAGGTGCTGTTTCAGAAATTTAAAGCAATGTTTCCCAGGTGCAAATTTAAAGATGGAAAAAACAACATGATTTATTAGGTCCATGGTATTTAGACAGAGGGAGAAATAGAAATACAGCCGCGTTTTGAAAGGGATCAAATATATTCAAAATAGCGAGTTTCGACTATCACCACTGTGAGAACGCTCTTAACTGTGGCACTAATCACTTATACCATGATCGAATGGGCTTCATTGAGAAAGGCTGAAAGACCAGTAAGTTTGAGGAAACACGATATCATAGTCAGCTGCGGTTCGAATACAGTGAGATGTGTACACAAATGTTTGCCATGAAAACGTATATGAAAAAAACGTGAAACACTTTGTGGGGCCCAAACACTCGGGTCCGTAAGGTTTTCAAGAACAAAATCGTGTGACTGACTGACCCACGGTGCAGTAAAGTAGTGCTAAACGAATTTACACACTTAGGCGTAAAGGAATTTGTCAGACATGTGGAATAATCGCGTGAGCACACACCTTAAGTTGCACATTTTCTCAACAATGTATGAATACTTACACACAGCGAACTATCAACCTCAGAAAATCATGGGCGAAAATAAGTCAATTTTTTTTCATTCTGCAAGAAAATATAGGGAGACTCGTGGTATACCTGACGTTCCTCGTGACTCGTCTGGCCATCCAGTCTGAAGTACTCATGTCCACGCCACAGACAATAATCTTCAAGAATGTCAAGTGTGCGAGTCATCTGGCTGAAAATCAGCACACGCGACCCCTGTTCCCGGAGACGTGTCAGCAGTTTATCCAAAAGGATCATCTTTCCACAGTTGTCAACAAGATGCTGGTCGGTTGTATAGGGCGGACCCGGTTCCACACCATCGAACAGATAGGGATGGTTACAGCATTTGCGCAGCTGCATCAGTATGTTCAGCAGCCGCACCTTGTCAGTTTTTTGAGTAGAAGAGTTGACAAGGTCCAGGTCCTTCATTAGGATCTTGGTATACAGTTCCCGCTGCATCTTGCTCAGTCCCACATAGATCTTAATTTCTTTCTTTGGTGGGAGCTTCTTTTCGACATCACTTTTCACACGACGGAGGAGGAAAGGCCGAAGTATCTAGAAAGGAATGCGTTGCTAGCGAAGGAGATATTTCAGTACTTACCGAATGCAAGCGAGTAACGAGTGTCTCCTCTTTCAGTGACTGAGAATTAAAGAGTTCGTCAAAGGTGTCGGACGAAGAGAACATGTCGGGCATGAGGAAGTTCAAGAGGGCCCAAAGTTCATGCAAATTATTTTGCAGCGGTGTGCCAGTAATCAGTAGACGACTCTGCGACTTGAATTCGCGAACAACTTCAGCCAGCTTTGATTTTTCGTTCTTGATACGATGAGCTTCATCAATAACGAGATAGACGTAGTTGTAGCGCCGTAATACAGGCTTCTCCTTAATGCACATTTCGTAGCTGGTAACAATTATATCCCAATTGCCCGGAAGAATTTCCTCCCTTATTGTACGAAGCTAAATATTAGGGTAGACTAAGAAAGGTAAGAGGTGAACACTTACCCTATCCTCTTGACTGCCGATGAGGACAACGGGCCGCAAACTAGGCACCCATTTTCGGATTTCTTGCATCCAGTTTGAGAGAGTTGATTTTGGCACGATAATCAGAAATGGGCCATTTTTGCCGCGGTAGTGTTTAACATAGCCCAGGAGGGATATTGTCTGCAGGGTCTTCCCGAGACCCATTTCGTCTGCTAGAATGCCGTTTGTGGCATTGAGGCTGAGCTGGATCATCCAGTTAAGACCACGGACTTGGTAGTCACGCATTTCCCCACCCTTCACATCTACATAGAAAAGTCAAATTACAACAAAAATGTGATAACGAACACCATGGTGATGAGTCAAAACGTGTGACCGCTGTCAGACCTCCACGCTTGGTTTCGGTTAAAAGTTGCTCATCCTCCTCTTGTTCTGTACGGCGATGCCGATGACTTTTAAAAAACATAACGTTAGGGAGCAATACTTACTCAATGGCAGACAAAGTCGTTTGAGCCTTTGACGGACTCAAAATTGTTGATTCATCTCCAGTTTCCTTTTTTGCTGTATATAAAGCAGCCTTCTCTAACAGATCCTGCATGCGCTTCACCTTTTCCTAAAAAGTCAAGAGTTTGTATGAAGCAGAGGTTACAAAAACCGAAAGAAAAGAAAGGGTACGCCAAAAGTCTCATCCCTACGTGATTTTTTTCAGTAAGTTACACTTTCATCATT